GTTACCCAAAACGAATTACATCTTATGTTTAACCACTTCAGAGACATCAGAGCCAGCGACAAATGTCAGAAGGACTAGACGAGTTGAGGCCGCTCCATTGGGAAACGAGCACTGAGCGCCCGCTGATCGCGTGGAGCTCACGTCTCCGAAATCGTCTTTACAAATAAACTGCAGATTTGAGTTTTGAAATACAATGCTGTGTGAACTCAACCAATCAGCATATTCAGCACCCAAGTCCCACCCCTGAAAGTTCCGTACCTTTGAAAACCTACTTACCTACCTCGCAAGCAGGGACTTTCTGAGGGGCAAATTTTTACCCGGAACTTTATTTAGATCCTGGTTCCTGCAAGTGGAAACACACCGAGTACCGGCCCAAAGTCCCTAGTTCCTGGGGAAAGTTCCTGCGGTGGAAACAGGGCTTTTGTTTCTCTTAGGGTTACATGGTATATTGGTACCATATTGGTCGATATTAGAATTTGGTATTAGATTTATTTAATCTGTTTTTAGGATTGCACACTTAAAGTTAATCTTTAAAATGTTTTATTTTTGTTTAATTAGACAAAATAATGTAGAATTTTCGACATGCAATGGAAATTCATTTATTTTATAAATGCATGTTATTGATCTTATTGTGAAAGATTTCAATGTTTCATTATAAAAAAAAAATTGACCTCGTATTTTTCTTCCGATAAAATTTTTCTGGTGAGGTATGCTGACGTATGTCCAATCATTTAGTCTGCTTAAACCCCGCCCCTTTCTTACAATCGACCGCAAGCTCACACTCACATCTGCCTCCATCCAATTAACAACCATTTAATTAAACCAAGTCCCCTACATTTTTTCTTAATTTTGATAATCCATTACACTTTTACATATACTGAACAAAATTATAAACGCAACACTTTTGTTTTTGCTCCCATTTTTCATGAGCTGAACTCAAAGATCTAAGACTTTTTCTATGTACACAAAAGGCCTATTTCTGTCAAATATTGTTCACAAATCTGTCTAAATCTGTGTTAGTGAGCACTTCTCCTTTGCCGAGATGATCCATCCACCTCACAGGTGTGGCATATCAAGATGCTGATTAGACAGCATGATTATTGCACAGGTGTGCCTTAGGATGGCCACAATAAAAGGCCACTCTAAAATGTGCAGTTTTATCACACAGCGCAATGCCACAGATGTCGCAAGTTTTGAGGGAGCGTGCAATTGGCATGCTGACTGCAGGAATGTCCACCAGAGCTGTTGCCCGTGAATTGAATGTTCATTTCTCTACCATAAGCCATCTCCAAAGGCATTTCAGAGAATTTGGCAGTACATCCAACCGGCCTCACAACCGCAGACCAAGATACCGTGACGAGGTTCTGAGGCCCATTGTTGTGCCATTCATCCACGACCATCACCTCATGTTGCAGCATGATAATGCACGGCCCCATGTTGCTAGGATCTGTACACAATTCCTGGAAGCTGAAAACATCCCAGTTCTTGCATGGCCAGCATACTCACCGGACATGTCACCCATTGAGCATGTTTGGGATGCTCTGGATCGGCGTATACGACAGCGTGTTCAAGTTCCTGCCAATATCCAGCAACTTCACACAGCCATTGAAGAGGAGTGGACCAACATTCCACAGGCCACAATCAACAACCTGATCAACTCTATGCGAAGGAGATGTGTTGCACTGCATGAGGCAAATGGTGGCCAGCCTAAGGCACACCTGTGCAATAATCATGCTGTCTAATCAGCATCTTAATATACAAAAAAAAAAGATGTCGCAACTTCCTTTTCATTACAACTTTTTCAGTTGTCTGCCAGAACTGAATTATTCAGAATAATATTAAGTTCCTCATATATTCACTTTTTCGTAACAGTTCTTTTTGACTGCTTTATACTGACACCTACTGGTGTGGATGAAGCGTTACACATTGTTAAAAATAAAGGTTCATTAAAACATTCATGGAACCTTTCCAGTCTCCACCTTTTTCTTCAACGCGGAAGTTGAACTTTCCAGTTCATTAGCCTCTATAGGGAAATAATGAGAAGAAGAATAACGTGCAGTAAATGGTAAAACTGTTTGTACTACAAACCAGTGTGTTAATAATTAAGATAATACATCAAAATAATATGGTAAGACACACCAATTTTCAATATCAAACTTCAAAATGAGCTGTTTTGTAGAGCTAAAAATAGCTGGACGTGGATGAGACCGGAAGCTAGACCCATGGAATTTACAAATGGCCGCACCCGCTCTTATGGGAAGAAAAACGTGGATATAAAAAGTTCTTTATAGTGGGAATATATTATATATTATTAATAAATGTATTCATAATAATATTATTAAAATGTTCTTAACACTAAGAAAAAATAGTTATTTTAAGAAATGTTAGTGCACCGAGTATAGCGCAACTGTGCTCACGGCAACCCAAGTTAGATTCCCGTCTCTATGTCCTTTGACGACCCCGCTCCCCTCTCTCCACCCAATGCTTTCCTGTCAGCACTCTGCTGTCCTATCCAATAAAAGCAAAAAAATCCCATAAATATCGCTTTTAAAAAAAAGAAAGAAAGAAAAAGAAATGCTTTGAGAAGGGTTCATTGGGGAACCCAAATTATTGTTCTATGGCATCATTGCAACAACCCCATTTTGGAACCTTTAAGAGTGCATCAAACTAAATGGTTTCAATGACTAGATGCCATTTTGGAAACACCTTATTTACAGATGTATCTGTGATTATTTTACATAATGTCTCACATAATGGGACAGTTGCATCCTGTCATGGTGACCCTCATGATGGGACGACCGGACTTAAAACTCCATAAAAGGCTCTGTCTTTCAGTTACTTCCCTAAAGGCAGACGCACAAAAACAGGGACACAGTCCACCATTTTGGGTGTAAAGCACTACTTCCCTGTCACTCTCACTCATGCTTCCTCCCGCTGTTTTAACTTGTGTTTCCTCATTACAGTGAGGAGCTTTTCCTCATTCGCAGACAGACGCTCATTCCCATCTAGAGACACTCAGGGGTTTGTTATTGGATTTGCCAAAGGCTGAGGAAGTTTCTGAGACTGTGGATCGGTTGTCTGTCTGTGTGTATGGAAGTTTAGATTTAAAATGCATCTGAATATGACCGTGTATTCTGAAGTTGTCATTAAACAACACAAAAGCCTTTTGTTTTAATGCTGTGTGATTTTCTTTCCCTTCCACAACACGCACATACACACACGTATGTTTGTGTGTCTATTGTGATGGCATTAGAGATGTTCGGTATGCAGTGGGACAGGGCCTCTCTATTTAGGACAGCTGGCCCAACTGTAATTGGAAAAGAATTATGGCTTAGGCCTTTTAGCGAATTAAAAATAACCTCTCAATTGACAAGGTCACGTGGTGGAGGAGAGGAGAGTTTAAGTGTGTACTCTCTGTTCCACTTTAAAGGAATGTTCCAGGTTCAATACTGGTTCATGCTGTCGATTACCACAGCAAATCATTGACTCGTCACTCAGTGTGTAAAACACAGAGATTGTGTGTATATATATATATATATATATATATATATATATATATATATATATATACACAAAGAAAGAGAAGTAATGGGAACCTGGGAACCTGGTATTTCTATGTTCTTTTTTCATGTGTCTAATAGACATGAACAAGTTCTTTGAAAAACATGTCTAGCCTTCATGCTCTGTGTTGACTATCGTTTCACTTATAATAAATATAAATTTGCATAAAGCATCCATATTTGTCCATGCCCATGTTGATTAGAGTATTACAAACTTGAAAAGTATTCAAGGTATATTTTGAACAGATCAAAAATGTGCAATTAAGTCATGCGATTAATCGCGATTAAATATTTTGCTTGATTGACAACCCTAATATATATATATAGCTTTTAGTGTCAGTTCCAAGCATGTTTAATGTTTAAATTGTTCAAACATAAGCTTTTTTCATTCTGTTTCACTTTATGAATATAATAATGAACAATCAAATAAATAAATCCAATAATTAATATAATTAACAATTAAATAAAAAAAATTTTCACCATCCAATGAGTAACACCTAAATATCACATTAGTTTCTACAAAATTAAGAACAATACTAGCCTCTTGTAGTAAATAAATTTTAATTCTCTTTCAGATAATTACCATAGGAAATAAATGACTAATGGTCTAATGGACATTACAAAAAAACACAGACGTTCCACTATTTAAAGCACTGAACCACATGTGACTTGACTGGGTAAACTCGACAGAAATTCTTGCATGAAACCTCTAACTTCATCTGTAATGTAATACTTGTGAGGCATCATCCAAATTTTACTCCAATCAAACCGTAAAATGTCATTTATGCCACTGAATGCTGTTAAACTCAATACTTTTGTTGAGATATGGTGGGAATTTTCATGACTTTTAGAAAAAAGGCAATTCTTCTCTGATGCGCAGTATATATAACCACTGTGTTAGTGGATATATTTATCTAATGGGAGTGAAAAGTGTGTTTTATGGGCTTCTTTTCTAAAAGTTCATGAACCAAAAGTGCCCATACAGTAATTGAAGAAGCATTTGTATAGTGGTTGGTTTATACATTTGTTTATTTGAGTTACTCTCAGGTTAGACTGGTTAGTTTCTGTTTGCATTTGTGTGACAGAAATTGAGCTACTCCCATATCCTGTGATCACAATAGTCGAACACTCTGTTCCTTGCCTCTCTTTTACCTGCTCCAGTTAATTTTCACATGCTCAATTATATCTTCCATTCTGATTGGCTGCTTTAGGTGACAGGTTGCGTCTTGGCCTGTTTTAAGCATGGCTTGATAGTGGAAAGGCTAATATTTGTCTGTTTGTCAGAGGATTATGACTTTGTGGGGTTGTTTAGATGGACCAATTATGACCTCATGACCATGTGCATGTTAATTTCCAACCTCGAATCACCAGATGTAGAGGATTTCCTGTGTGTGTGTGTGTGTTCATGAGGGGTTAGGTATTTACTCTAATGTGTATCAGTACACAGGCCCTGTCCCGGCAGACCGCGAGTCTCCGATGACGCGGAGCGAGACGTCCCCCAGCCGTGCCCAGCATCCCTCCCCTACACAGAAACCCAACACCTGCTGCTTCTGCTGGTGCTGCTGTTGTAGCTGCTCATGGTACGACCCACTCACCTGTCTCTGTCTCCACATGGTACATTCCACTCATCACCACTGCCAGTGTTGCATTCCACATCCATTCCTTCGCCGAGATTATATTCACCTCCATACAGTGCTGCAGTGATTATGTATTTTGTAGGCCAACTAGAGTTAGCATCATTTCAGTTCTCACTACAAAAACGTTTGGTTGGCTTCTGGATTATTGGCTTTTGGATTAATGATAAAATGTATGATTCTACAGGTTTTGTTCATCATGATAATCTTCCCAAATGAACACAACCTTTATGAACTTTGAAGCCTAAATACAATCATCAGAAGTAAAAAGCTAAATGTAGGCTATAAACAAACTACACCATGGCCGTGTGACTTCAACATCACCATCACTAAGCTTATGTCAGCTCTTCTGTTTATATTTAAAAAGCATTTCCCCTGAAATTTAGAGTTAGAACAGTTTGAAAGAGAGTAGCCTAACTGTTAATGAAATTAGGCTGTAAAAGTGTAAAAAGTGAGTTGTGAGTAGATCTCTTCTTTATCTCTTCTCCTGGTGACATTTAAATTAGTTCAATTCCGGAATAAAAATTCCTTGATAATTTACTCACCTATGCCATCCAAGATGTAAAACTAATTTCTGGGTTTTGGCCTACAAAAATATGTCATCCTTGCAACCTTCTTATGGTAAGTTATATAGATGGTCTCAGTCCCACCCCTCAGCCCTGGAGCATTCCAGCTTCATCCCAATTTTATTGATTCATAAATGATTATTTATTTAATTATTTATTTAATGAAGTGTAATGTAATGTATGATGAATTAAATGTACAATTCACATGCAAAGCAAAGTCTTAAAGGCAAAAAAATTATAAAAAAAAGAGTATGCTCATTTTTTAAATAAATGGTAAAGAAACATTAACATTACCATTTTACCAATGAAACAACATTAACTAAAAAACACCTTGTTTACTTTCTTAATACATGTTCCTGGTTTTATTGCACACAATGCGTCATTCCACGTTATCCTATAGAATTAAAATATTTGTTTTCATAAATTTTTCATGTAATATCTTGTCTTTACTGCTGGTTTGGGGAAAATAACATTAACCTATAATATCATAGTCTACTTTTTACGATACAATCAAATCCCTGTGGATAAAGTCAAAAACACAATCAAAAAAGTGTTATTTCCGGCTGAATATTCGGTTTCACTCGGAAATATGCCACATTAAGTTGAAGCTACTGTCATATCAAGATCCCTCAACACAACACTCAGTTATTTTTATGCGTGTGTGTGAATGAGATGTGATATGTTTTTCAATGTGATATATGTGTTTGTAAGTACAGGTGAATACATGCTTCTGTGAAAGTACACACACGTTAATTGCTGTGTGAGTGTGTGTGCGCTTCTCTGAGTGAAATTCAAGTGTACTATGAGTCAGGAGAGTTAAGATTGCTCGTGTTTCACCAGGAGCCTCGGAGGAAATGGGAGCCATATTCACACCCACACGTATTTCACACACTTATCCACTCACACTCATTCTTCAAGCACACCTGCTGCACATAGCTATTTACAGTGACCCTTGAGGTCCAAACTCTGATGACCTCTCAATGTTTCATTAATGTTGCTCATTCTGTAGATATTTCAGAAATCAATTATTTTTAGTGATTCAAAGCCTTTCAGTCAGTGTGATCCAACCGATTTCCGAATTAATGACTTGATCCAGTTCTTTTTTTTTAGTGATTGAAAAGAATACAGTGCGTATAATGTATTCCAACAGATTCCTGAATAAATTACTCTTATGAACCACTTCTTTTTAGTGATACAACCAATACATCATGACCAGTAGTCCAACTGATTACCAAATGAATGACTCGTATGGGCCGGATCTTCTTAGTGATTCAAAGCCATACAGCATGACCAATGTAGTCCAACCAGTTGATGAACAAATTAATCTTATAAACAGGTTCAATTTAGGGATTCAAAGCTATGCAGCTTGACCAGTGTATTCCAGCTGAATTACTCTTATGATCCATTTGTTTTTAGTGATTCAAAACCACGTGTGGTCCAACAGATTCATGAACAAATGACTCTTATGAACAGGTACTTTTTAGAGATTTAGAGCCATGCAATGCAACTAGTGCATCCAAATAATTATCAAATGAATGACTTTTATGAACTGGTTTTTCTAGTGAATAAAAAAAAAACATACAGCATGACCAGCATTGTCTAACTGATTCCCAAATGATTGACACTCATGAACCAGTTGTTTTTAGTGATTCAAAGCCATACACAATGCGACCATTATTGTCCAACCAATTCCTGAATGAATGAGTCTTATGAACCAGTTCTGTTTAGTCATTTAAAGCCATACAGTGCCATTAGTGTAGTCCAACCGATTACTAAAATGAAGTGTTTTTTTTATGATTCAAAATCATACAGTATAAGCAGTGTAGTCCATCCAAGTCCCAAACAAATAACTCTTATGAACAAGTTCTTTTTAGTGATTCAGACCATTTTGTATGACTTGTGTAGTCCAACAAATTCACAAAAAAATTGACTTTTATGAACTGGTTCAAAGCCATATGGTGTGACTAGAGAAACACATGAGTTCATAATTAAATTAGAAACTCAGTTGAATTAATACTCACGAATTCACCTGAACATGAAGTTGAAGGGCCTTGCGTGTTAAATGTGAGTGTGTTGTGTGCGTCTCGACTTTTTATTTTGTTCAGGCACTGCTGTTATTTCTCAATGCCGTTTTACCACCTTCTAGTCTCACTGTTAGGAGTGAAGATGACAAGCGTGGGCGGAGGAAAGCCCAGGAGACAAAGCTGGAGCCCTTTCCATGTGAACTTTGGTGAGAACACACATGCAAACTCACATACAATCCCAGATACTGTTTTCATCATGAGGATTGAGCTGTTTCTCTCAACCACGTCATCATGGATTATTATGTTTGTTAGGGATGTGAATGTGCCTAATATCTCTCTCTAACTCTCTCTCAGCCCCAAACCGACGACAGAGGAGATTAAACAGTGGGCGCAGTCTTTCGATAAGCTGATGAAGAACCCAGCGGGGCGAAACAAGTTCCGTGAGTTCCTGCGGACGGAGTACAGCGAGGAGAACATGCTCTTCTGGCTGGCCTGTGAGGACCTGAAGAAGGAGATCAACAAGAGTGCCATCGAGGAGAAGACACGTTTGATCTACGAAGACTACATCTCCATCCTCTCGCCCAAAGAGGTACACACATAAACACACAACCTAATCAACACACTCATAATGACTGTGTAAAGTAGCACAAAGGTTCAGTGTAAACGTCTTTGCTGTCTTTATAGTCAAGGTTTTATACTGTAAACACATCTGTGCGAGTGTGTCATCTGAAATCGTTGTGCTCTGTTAACCTCTTGTTTATGCACTTTTGATAAAAAAGCAGATTCACATACAATCTGAATCATAGATGTTGCAAAAACAGCCAATGAATGGCAGTTTGCATAAGGGGATGGTTAATGCTGTTTTGCAGATGTGTCATTGTCATCACACATGACAAAGAAAATGACAAAACTTACATCAAACAGATATGCTGGTGGTGTACTTGTGTTATCAGGCCAGGTTGTAACAGAAAATAGGAAAAGTGAATGTCTTTGTGTGGACTGGATTTGATAATGTATTAAGTATCTGTATTCTATCTCTGCTGGAACCCAAGAGGTAGCCATTTCATTTGCAGCCATTGTAGCTTGCAATAATAAAGTAATTTAAAAGACATGAACATATTTTCATGCATGTTTGTGTGTAAATCTATTCTAAGAAAGGCACCGAATATAATAACCATAAAAAGTCCAGTTGTAACTGCAGTGGAAAGATTGGTAGCTGTTCTTTATCACCTCTGGCTTGTTTCTCCTTTGTGGATTGCAGATTTCAGGCTATGTGCAGGTCTGTGATTGGCTGTATTCTGACCAATGAGAAGCAACTGTGGCCTTACCTAAAAACTTCTTTGGATGCTTAGCTTGAACTTCACACCACTAAATGTTGAGAGAGTAAATGTTTAAGAGTTTGTGTGTGACAAAGATACGAGGCGTGAAGGAATTCTGCCAGATGTATTATTGAAGCTTAATGTTTTATAAGGCTCATTTTCTGAGATACAGGCTTCTAGCACCATATGTGGCGGTTGATTCTGCTTTCTATTATGATCTGTTTATGTTTTGTCTCCTTTCGATGTGAGACAGCAGGGTGTGCATGTATTGTACACACTATCATTGCATTCTCGGTGTGCATGTGTGCTGCTGGTATGCTGTTTAATTCATTGTGTTGACATGTTGAATGTGCCTCTTGGCTTTTTCATCACCGGAGCCAGAACTCACACCTTCAAACTCCACCACTTTCTAGAGGCAGCTGAGGAAAACATACTTTCTAGAAGTAAATTAAGGAGCAAATGTTGAGCAAAGGAAGCTATAAATGAATCGCTGCTGGACTCACTACTGTAAAGCGGTTATACAAATAGGCTGCACAGGTTTCATAAAGTTTTAGAGGTTCATGGGATTGAAATTTGAAAACATATCCAAGACTTTTTGAGGCACTCAAAATTTGATTTGGGATTGGTAAAAATATTTAAAAAAAAAAAAAAAAAAAGAGATTATACTCTAATGCTCACCAAGGCTAAATTTATTTGATCAAAAATACATGAAAAACAGTAATATTGTGAAATAGTATTACAATTTCAAATAACAAATTTCTATTTTAATATGTTTTAAAATATAATTTATTCCTGTGATGCAAAGCTGAATATTCAGCATAATTACTTGTCTTCAGTGTCACATGTTCCTTCAGAAATCATTCTAATGTACTGATTTGCTGCTCTAGAAACAGCAGCCAATTAGCTCGCTGCTCAAGATTCAAAACTTCAGCTAGTGCTTGCTGTACCAGTTGCACCCCGCCTCAGAAAACCTCCACCTTCCCCAGCTCCACCTGTATAGATCTGCAATGGGGTGATTTTGTGTATGTTATATATGGGGGTTATTTCATATATGCTGTATGTGCAGCAGCAGTATTTCTTACATGCTCACAATAGCATGTCTGTGGATGTATTGGCAGTAGCAAGTCTCGGTATTTGCTCTGCCGTGGCAGCAGCGTAGCAGATCTATACTGCCAAGACCGAACACATTAACATTGTCATGTACATTACAATGCTAAACTCTCTGAGAGTTGTCATTACAGAACAGCATTTATTTGAATATCATGAATGATCTTGAATTACAATAGTCATTGAAATTTGTCGGTCAAAAAAAGTGATAGAAGCATTTGATGTCATTGTTCAAACTTTTTAAATGTTTTCCTGAGCTGAGGAAACTATAAACAGCTTGTAAATGTTTCTGCAACTGTACAAAGTGCATTAATAATATTCCTAAAAGTTGACCTTCCTAACCTTGAGTATTATAAAATGACTATAAAACTATCCTTTATAAGCATTTTATTTTAATACTATCCTAACCATGTTGCTCGGAGTTCACAATGCTCTTTTTCTGTCTTGAAGGTGAGTCTGGACTCTCGCGTGAGGGAAGTGATCAACAGGAGGATGCAGGATCCCACCCCTCACATATTTGAGGATGCACAGCTGCAGATCTACACCCTCATGCACAGAGACTCCTACCCACGATTCCTCAACTCCTCTGTCTACAGATCACTGGTGCAGGGGGGGTCACGCTCCTCGTCTGAGTCATAGACACCCGACTCCCTCCTCTTTCTTTCTCTCACTCTCGCCACCCAGTTTCTCCCCATTTCCCTCCATCTCTCTTCATTGCACAACCACTCGAGGAGAAAGTACTCCTTTTTTGTGTCGTCACAGTTGGATTACCTTTTTTTTTTTTGCTTACTCCCTTTTCTCTGTCATTTTTAAGGGAATCCCTCGTTTTTTGTGTGTATCTTTTGAACCTGCACAGACTGAAACTGGAATACACAGGGTTGAAAATGCAGTTTTCATTTTTCGAAACCTCTTTTCCCCCCCTCACCATCATTCCAAGCGTATGTGGCAGCAGCAGTATCAACTACTGATTTTCACAGCCATGTTTTTTTTTTTTCACGCAAACATGCTTTGCTACTTTTATCTCCCGACGTCTCTAGTTGAAGAGAGCTGAGAGGGCCTCTGCAATAACACACACTGGAGTGGCCTGACCAATCTGCTCCTCTCTCCTGACCCTTGACCTGTCCACTGTCTCTGTGCTCTGATTGGCTCTTTGAGGCGAGGGGTCGAGAGCTGATTGGCTGCATCGTAAAGAGAGGAATGGCACTTTTTCAAGGTGCTAAACAAATGGGTACAAAACTATTTACACACTATTTCGAATATAAATCAATTTCCATGCCCAGACAGGATTTTCCAGATTTTCTGCACTAATTTTGAGGGAAAATCTGCGGAATTGATTTAAATATGGTCAAATGAGAGTACTAAACTCATACTGGTAGCTGAAAGCATTATCAAATTAGCCAAAATATTTACTAAACATAAAGGCAGGGGGACGTCGAATTTTGTAAAAGAGGGCATAACTGTTTTGTTTGAGATTTCTGTGTGTACAGATTTTGTGTGGGCCTGTTGATTTCAAGCAACGGTTATAAGTAAAAAAAAAAGAAGAGGAGGACCGCCAATTTTAGAGATATTAAACAAATGAAACATACATGAGATGAGAGAATGCCATGGTCTTAATTAGACTGGTCACTCACATTTTAAAATGAGTATTTTTAATGTTATTTATTTTGTTAAACTGTGACCTGATTTGTTTTTCTTGTACATATATTAAAGAAAATCTGGAACATATGTGACATACCGAGCAAGCTGTTAGTCCTGAGTGCTCAATTGCGCTGTATCTCTCTCTGGCCTCACTGTGTGTGTGTGTGTGTGTGTGTGTTTCTGTGGTTGTATGGTCTCTCTGGCGCCACCTGTAGGCAGTTACAGTTCAGGTACTGAAGTTTTGCAAGCTATTTCTCAGTGTTCCCGCCTTTTCTTTAGGCAAAAGCAGATGATTTTAGTCATCATGAAATCAAAATGAACTTTATCGGTCAGTGCACGTTATTCCACAGAAAATATTTTGTCTTTGTAAATACTTTCTATGCCTCTAAAAATAAGCATGGCAAAATTGCAGTAATTTAATCCCGATTTATGTTGTTGTAATAAATGTTACAGCAATAATAGCAGATAACGATACATTTTAATTAACTCGGTCATGTCATAACGGTGTTTTTTTCTGTCAGTTTTTCACACAATATACATGTTTTAAAGAGAATATGTCAGCATTAACAAATAAGAAAAGCATTGCACGGGTTTTACAGTATTGTACAGAAAACGTTTAAAAAAGAAGCCATGAGCTGGCATACTTGTGCTAAAACTCATTTTCTTTACAGATGCCTTCAACAGACTCTGAACCCGCTCGATATTTAAAACATAATAGGAATATTGGAGAACAGGTTGGACTGATGTTAACACTGTGAGCTGCGCTACCGCTCGAAACTTATGTATTACAAAATATTTCATACATTTCATAATGTGAATCTGAAACCAACCAATACTGAGTGAGTGGGTCCACAATAATAGAGACATTCTGTTATGGAGCTAGTCTTTTTATATCAGCGCTGATCTGAAAAACTGGTGTTTATACTTTCCCCTACATGTTCTCCTTCCTTAAGCAGTTCATTTAGTTTGAGCAAAGAAACCTTAATTTCAGATCTCTCATTTCACATTGAAATGAGGTAAATCATCCACATCCGCTTGGTACTTCCAGGTACTTTCAGGATTTGGTTCTATATGTACAGAAAATACATGTATAAAGAATTAAAGACTCTAAAAGTGAGATTTTGAAAGTCACGTGGCAATTTAGAGGAACTTCATGTACTGTAGTACTAAAAAAGAAAAACAACAACAACTGATGCATTTATTTTGCTTTTTTTCCATCAGTTGTGCATGAAGATGTACATTTTGAAATATGTGTGTAAAATAGTTGTGTATATGGTTATATATATATATATACACATGAACATATATTTAGTATTGCTCTTATTGTCCGACATGATGTGACCAGTCTAACTTAAACCAGATGCGTATGTGTGTGTGTGCATGTTTATGTGGTTTATGAGGACACAAATTTGTATAATAACATGGGTATGACATAGGTATTACAACAAGAAGGTGATTTATGAGGACATTTTCAGTGTCCCCGTAATTCAAAAGGCTTATAAATAATTCAGAATGAGTTTTTTTGAAAATCTAAAAATGCAGAAAGTTCCCTGTGAGGGGTAGGTTTAGGGGTAGGGTTGGTGTAGGGCAATAGAATATACGGTCTGTACAGTATAAAAACCATTACGCCTATGGAGAGTCCCCATAAACCATAAAAACAAACCTGTGTGTGTGTGTGTGTGTGTGTGTGATAAAAGTTAAGTGATTTTTCTTAAGACAATGGGAGAGAGATGTCAATGTCAATGTCATTGCAGCCTTTGACAGTGAACACTTGATTACGCAGGGATACGCACAGTTACACACCGTCCCGCTCTTTAAAGACACACTTAAAGAGGGAAGCTTGCTGGTAGACCTCTCACCGTTTCACGTGCACTTTGTGTTCACACTGAAAGCGAATAAGAGGACACTGTACTGTATCAGCTGATCACATGAGCTCCGCTGTCTTCTCTCCTAATGGTAGTCGCAGTTTATTTGTGTAATGTTGAACTCGACTCAGCTGTCGCTCACGTTGCCTCACATTGTCAACTCACATTGAAAGTAACTTCAGTTTGCTTTGAAAATCGCTGTCAGTGTGAACACTGCAATCAAAGCGATGCAACAGATTTAAACGTTCCTATTATAATCAACGTCACTGCTGCAAAAAGAACATTTGAATTCAATAATGTAATCTGGGTTTGCCATTTATTAAATATTAACATTTAATTTTTGTTTTAATTTTAACTTGTTATAATTTTCTGGTTTTAAAAAGGACAATTCAATTCAAGTTTATTTGTATAGCGCTTTTTACGATACAAATCGTTGCAAAGCAACTTTACAGCAAATTAAGTTTCTACAATATTTAGTGGTAGCTTATCGGTGGTGACTGTCAGTTAATGTATGGAAAAATCTATTAAACACACAATCAAACAGATGATGAACACTATTAACAGCAATTATTATATGATGCAACCAAACTTATAGCAAAATGTAAACATTTAAATGTGCAATTTATTTTTTTTTTAATATGTATGCTTCCAGTTTGGGATGCACTGATATTCAAATTCTGGCCCAAAACTAATAAGCTGATAAATATTATTTGACCAATATTAAAACTCTACACTATTTTGTACAAATATGTTTAATTTAAATTAAAACACTAAACACTAAAATCAGTCCTTTTAAATGCTACAAGCGAATTTAAGCATTATACTTTACAGTTTCAAAATGGATATTAATTCATGTTGTGCTAAAGATTACATTTTATTATTTATTTACAAATGATTACAGATTATTAGTATATTTAAAAATCAAATTTAAGGGAGTGTTAGGTAATGGTATAAGGTAGTGTACACACAAATATTTAGGCTTAAATGTAAGATTTATTTATTTGAATAGCATATTCAACATCCATACATTTGGATTACACAGTTAAAACATGCGTTACTATTAATCTTAATGTGATGCATATTTGTCAGTCATAGATAAATAAAACTGGTAAGATTGCTGCACTCACTCACTCATAAATAAATGCATAAATAAATACACACATAAATCATGCCATTGTTTATTATTAACTATTTGCATCTGTTTATTTTTTTAATAATCTATTTACAAAATAATTTATTAAAACTGCTTAGAATCAGCATTAATCTGTCCATTGTGAAAAACTGCATTTTTTCAGTTAAAATGTAGGAACATGGTTCAAATATGGCTAGTTATGGAACAAGCAATATTCAGTTAGTTAAAATGTTGAAAGAAATTGGATTTACTGATGATAAATAAACCTTTTACAGAAATATTTTATTATTTTTAATATCATTTATATTTTTTACCTGTTTCATTTATGTGTGACTGACAAATATGCATCACATTAAGTTTGTTAATGTTAAAACGGTGTAATCCATATGGCTGAAATATATATATATATATATATATATATATAAATTCAAATACATAAATATTAAATTAAGGCCTTGTATTTTTTGAGTGTATTTGTAAAAATAAGCAAAATAAGCAGCACAATTAAATCGAAATTCTCTAATATTGCCTGATAACCAATATGGAACTGATATATCATGCATCTCAACACACGTTTGTGCTGCCAGCTTTGCTAATACTAGGAGTGTTTGACTTGTTTTAACGCCTGCCAACAATTGCCCTCATCCTCTTTCAACAGCTGCACAGAACAGACAGACTTTCACAAACCTGTGTTTGATTGGAGACGGGGACTGTGACCTAGAGCTGCTTATGTTTACATAGATTTCTTTAAGGTGCCAAAATTAATCTAGCTTTCTAACAGTCTCAAACTAAGGAGCTTTGTGAGTCTGTCAATACCTGATGTGTTTCCATCATCACCAAATGCTCACACTGCTCTTTGTTACAATACGTTTTGGTTTCAGTGTGTCAAGGGCTCACTTCACGTTCTCCAGCCTCAAGGTTTTGCCATCTCATCCGCCTTCCCTCACTCTTTCTTGCGTTCTCTCCAGTCGCTCTGTGAGATTTTCTCTTTTTGTCGTGTATTCTCACGAGATTTGCAGTGCCATGACATACAGCAGTGAGGTCGGTCCCTGACTCATGGACTTCTATGGACACTTATTTATTGACATTAGCATTATATTTTGTATTAAAATAAATCAAGTTATGTTTTAAAGAGTATGTTTATGGATTTCTGGACCAATTTTTTTGTTTGTTTCCCGAAGTCTGTGACCATTACTGTGTAACCTCCCCTCGCCCTTGGGTGCCATAGCAGGACGCCCTCTTCAGGTTGTGGGTGGGACTTGAGGTCCCTTTTAACCCAGGCCAGCTCATTGCCGGAGATGATTTCATCAATAACTCCTCTGTAATATTCCATAACCTTTGACTTGGTTGCAGATTTTTTTTTTAATGTTTGTTTTAAAGAGAAGATATGACTATAATGATAATAATAAAGATGTTTGTGTTATTATTCATTTACAGCTTGCCAAGAGATTTACAATGTCTCCAAAAGTGCTTTTCACACTTTACTCAATGGGTTTAATGCGAATACTTACGCTATGTCCGAAATCACATACTGTGTAGTACTGGTTTGAAATTTTGAAATGTTTCTAAATAGTATGAATAAGGGTAGTAATGAAATTCTAAAGTCTGACATTTCTGTATGCGTTTTTTTTTCGTATTCGTCATCCTTTGCTATCAAAATGCTTGCTACGGATGCGAAAATGCAGAACATCGAACCTACAAATTAATCGCGCATTTTTCTGAAATTAATCGCGATTAATCCCGTTAAAACGTTAACGTTTTTAAATATACTTTTATATTGCAATAATTTCACATTCGATCTTGAAATCAATGTACAAACAACAAAGGCAGTATATTTTTTTATATTTGTTTAATGGCATCTTTTTTTATGACTGAAGGCCAAAAAAAAACGTGACGAGCCATTCCCGCATCTGTTTGTGGCTGAATGCAAATGATCAAAGAAAAAAATACAAAAAAGATGACAACGAAGCCCGTGCATCAATTTCAGGTACTTTTCGGTACATTCATAATCCTGTGAAACTTTTTTTTGGCTGTTGACGTTAATAACGTGTTTTAATGCGGTAATAATTTCACCAACGCATAATATTCTCTCTCAATTTCCATG